AAGGACTAGAATTTTCAATTTACCATTAACAGAAATTACTTAGAAGGCCAAAAACCCTACATGGTGTTGGTATTGTGCGCTTAACAGAAGGTATCGGCACCTAGTTGAAGGTGTTGACTCCTTATGCGATTTTCTGAAATTCATGGCTAATTTATTATTTTGGATGTGGATCCCACTTCTATTTCAATTAGGATTTTTGAAATTCTATAATTACTCATCCAAGTTCAAGAACTTTTGAAGGTTAGTGGGAACCCTCTTTTGGGTATTCTTGGAGATCAAGATCAAGGATCAATAAGAAATGAAGGATTTCAATTCCCTCAAATAGGGTTTTATTCTTTCTTGATATTTTTATATTCATAACTATAATTTTAGATTTTATTATTTTTATTATGAATTAATTTATTTTATTAAGGATAAGATGTAACCTAATCAATTTAATATAACTTTTGTAATTTTTACAAACTTTGCATGATAAGTTTATATTATTGAACTTAATGCATTGAAAACTTGATTACTTTTTGATTGATTTAATAATTTATGCATGAATTTAAAAAAGAATTACATAAATTAGACAAATAATAATATAAATCGTATGTTAGATTATGAGATCAAGAAGTAATTAGCGTCACATGTAATAGTGAAAGAAGAGAAGAGAGTTAGGAGCTCCCTCTTCTTAAGTTAGAGGTTTCTATAGAATTTAATACTCATTAGTTTGTTTAAAATTACATAGAAATATGACTAATTTAACAAAAAAATGAAGGATTAACTTTACTTAAAAAAGCTAGTTAGTTAATTTAGGAAAATCCACCATCACATGCGGTAACACTTGACAAATTGATTTTAAAAGTATATTAATCTAGAATTTATATTGATTATTATGGTGAAATCAATGTCTTAAAACTTCATATCTTGATTAGCTTTATTTTAATTGTGATTCTCTTTTTATTACTTTTAATTAAAGTTTCTTTCTTTTCTATTATTCAAATAAATTTAGATTAATTATTTTTGGTACTTAGTTAATCACAATCCTTGTAAATTCAACTCTTTACTTATCATTACATTACTTGGAGCGATTAATATACTTACTAGATTGATTTTAGTGCATCAAGTGTGATTCAAAAAAACATGAGTGAACTATGCTTGCAAATCTATTCTTTGAGACAAATTTTCACTTCCTACAAATACAATATAGATAATTGTTTTTGTAAGGTTCTATCAATGGTGTGCATTAAATGATCATGCACCTTTGTATCTTATATTATAGGTGTCTTTAAAGAGTAGCCCAAACTATCACAATAACAACCCTACAACTAACTAGGTGAACCTTTTCTTAGAGTAATCGATGACCATTATTTCATAAAAATCTTTTACATTTAGGTTCCTTAAGAGAATTTTCTCTTCATAGTTTGTCATAACATAGCAAGCATTTTTGCCATAAAAATCAAACTCAACATCAATAATAAAATACAAATGATTTATAATTACCTATTAGCTTCATTGTTATTTGTTGAACTTCATTCATAAGATGGTCATATATTTGAAGATAGGTGTTCACTATAGTAATTTTTATTTTACAAGATTACCCATTCCTCTTGAAGATTCAATATATTACTTCAAAACAATCCTTGACCAAAGTATTAATATTGCATATGCAACATCTTTGTCAAATATGACTAAATTAAATACCAATATACTCTTTATTAATGTTCTCAATATAGCACCCTAACGTTTATGGCATCCAAATATGACAACTTCATAACTTTAACACTCTCCCACATCTTTGTGTCATATTTTATAAAAGCTATTATTTAGTATTTTAATCATGCATGCATTGCACTATCTTTCTTATGTGTACCTCATTCACATCAAAATGATTCACATGAAAAATGAAACTCGATTACATCCTTCTATATTAACATGATCAACATATAGTCTTTGGGAGCAACAAGATTCTCTCAAGTTTGTTAATACCATTTTTTTTTCATTTTTAGTAAGACCCCATAGGAAATTTCACCTCTAATCTATAGATAAATGACTAAGATACTGATATAATGTATCACAAAAACTGTAAACAATGTTAAATATAATTAATTATATATGTCAAAAATACAACCACAAAACATGGCCATGGACAAAGAACATTACAATTAAAGAAGTAATATATATGTATATATTATATCATTTTGTAATCTAAATAGCTTATGAATGTATATAATATTACAATTATAATATCAATATTACATTAATCATGACTAGGACCAAATGAATAATAAAAATTAAATCATTCATAACTAAAGCTCTAATTTAAATAACCTATTACCAAGAAAAGTTTTTTGCAACTAAAACCTCATACATGCTTGCTATATCTTGAATTAGATAAATCAAATTATAAGAAGCTTGCTAAACTAAGGAGATACAATTGTAGTAGATGATTAAATTTAATTTAGCCTTTTAAATTGGGAGCCATAGTCTAATTTTCAATACTTATTATTCTTCTAATTGACTTCTGTTATAATAAAATATAGATTTATTGCAACACAAGTATGAATGTATTTCCAACAATTCACAAAACATCAAAATAATGCATTCATCCCTAGCTATATTTAAAATATCTCAAAGCAAGGAAATTGGTATTGGCTCCCATAGTTATTACATTGGTTTGTTGACAATCACTTGAATCAATATTGGCCACTTGATTTAACCTTCCATAAATCTAGCAAACATCGTTCATTTGATTAGGATTGCTATCTCTTGATCTAATAGTATTATTATTAAAATTTTTGAAGTTATAGTTTTTATGAGGTGCATTTCTTTTAAGTTTTTAAACTTAAGTTTATAAACATGTTCAATTAAATGTGCCTTAGCATAATTGTAACAACTTAG